CTATTATTATATGTTGTTTTAAATTATGTTCCATTTATATACATAGGCCTACTAAATATTTTTATCTCTTAAAAAAAAAAAGTAAACAGTTTTTTTGTAAATGTAGGTACATAGATCATATAATGTCAAAAGGGAAATCAGGTCTACAGAAGAAACAAGAAACATCAGAAAGTCTTCTGAGAAAGCAAATAGATTTGACAATAATAATGACTTCCCAGATATCATCTCAGAGCAACCAGAACCACAAGATCTAGAGAGTCCAAGATTACAAACTAGGCTGGAAATATCGAAACGTGTCCCCATGCAATGTTATTGGTTGAGTACACTAAGGCGAAAGTGGTCCAGTGGGCTTCCAAGGCAGGTTCTAGCGAGCACGTGGAGATGATGAAAAGAAAAGCTATGCTAAATCTCCCACGTCGTTCCCCAAACGAGCGATGTATGCTGCGGTGATTCTGTGGCGATATATTTAGGAATAGGGAGGAATCTTTTGTGAGCTCGGCATCCGACCTCGCTGGGATGGATGAATCAAGATGGGACTTAAGGAGCCGTGTATCACAACAAAGGTTGTGATTAAATGGTATATAGTTGATCTAGTTATCTTGATCCCACATACTCCAGCTGGTATTCTAGTCTTCACTGCTATCAAATTTTTTAGAGAAGAAATAGCGAAACGTGTGCTCAACCTTATTGTTGGAGTCACTAGGTTTTAAATAAATTGCGTAATTTAATTTTTTCGCATTAATTTTTTTTAGTTAACATGGGACCTCCAAATTTACTTCACCAAGGGCCTCTAATTATCTAAGGCCGTCCCTGGAGGTTGGCCCACATAATAGAGGTAAATAGAGCAGTGAGATTCATAACAAACGAATATTCACATTTGACTAGTCACTAGAGTAACACTTTTAGTAAAATCACTAAATTTAGAAAGTCTTCAGGATAGAAAACTTAAAGGTAAAGTAGCCGTCTTCCTTGCGTCGTCGACCTGCCTAAGATCATCAGTGAGACCAGGACACATTGTCCTGACATTCCAAATGGCCAGTCCCATGATTTTCTTTTTCAGTTTAATTTTTCTTCTTTTGTTACTTGGTGCAAGTTTCCAGCCTACTTGTCGTTTTAAACTAAGCTCCAAGCACCCATTAGAGCAGACAGGCTGTGGCGGATCAGCACCTAACTGACTGGGGGTGCCCAGGTTGAGGCGGGCGGTAGCTGATCAGTGAGGCGCGAAGACCTCTCCCACCGTCAGAGACAACCCGTGGCGTCCATACATTACGCCAATCAAGTTGGACTTCTAACCCGTAACTGTTGTCTCCCGTGTTGATTTAGCCGCTTTGCAGCATTCCTGGGTCTTGAATAAAAGGGTCATGATCCCTCTCTCGACCTTGCTGATGTGATCCAAAGTAGCAATTATACATAAAACACTGAACCATAATCTTCAAATACAAAAACAAAATTTAATAAAATACCCAGAAAGACTGAGATAAAGACATACTCGAAGTTTCATATTCTATGACAAATTTAAATTGTACAAATGCTCTTTCGTCCCTAGCGCCATTTGAACATGGAATGGGTTGCCCGAGCTAGCCAGGAAAACCAGTGACTTGGCAGAATTTAGGTCATGGATTAATATGCATGACTAAATGCATGACGGGTAGGACGTAATCATTTTCTTTTTTTGAAGTAACGTCTGTATCATATAAGCAGGGCCGCCGCGTGGGTTGTGGCCGCCTGCGTGCAAAATTAAAAATGCCGCCCACCCTCCTTTTTTTTTTTAGAAAACAAAATGTCATTAATACTGAGTTGGACACTGTTCCAAAGTGCCCTTTGCTTTAAATATATTTTTGTAGACCGTTCCATTTTTTCCTTGCATATTAGCACCAAGTACAACTAGGAATCCTGCACTTGGAACAATGTCGTATTTACGTGTCTTCAGACATCGGACATTTTGGATTCTTTGTGAACAACATTCAAAACTGACCTCGTTCTGACTACTCAATTCTGCTCCTGTATTTGCGACGATTATAAATGATAAACTGCAGCAGGTATATTACAATGAACAGTGTAAGTGTAAATGATCATGATCTATATACAATTTCTCGAGAACATTTTTTTCGCCGCCCCCACCCCCAAGTGTTATTGGTCGGTTGTTGGGTTGTAGCGCCAGCAGCTAGTACAACTAAACCGATGTAGGCTTTTTATACGTTTGAATCAATAAACTCTAAGTCACGTGAACAAACTTTTTTGGGAACAAAGACTCAATAGAACTTAGTATTCACGATTTAACTTGAGATGAAATATAGATCTAATTGTAATGAAATAAACTGATCTTTAAACAAAATCTAGCTCAAAATAATAAAGTCTTTACTCTTTCATGTCTTAAGATCGTCTCACATTTGCACTAGATACGATAATTTCGTCATTGTCACTGCATAATGAGCAATCTATCGCTTATTCTCTTGTCACTGCCGCCTATGTAAAACACCCACTTCATAACAAATCTTTTTGTCATGACGTTGCGCCCTTCCCTCTCAAAATGAAAGAAACTAGCGCCCCCTTCCATTTAATATGTTTTTATAATTGACTTTTTAATTGCCGGTAATAGATCTACTTACAGTGTGGGCTATTCGACTCCAAACAAATATTACAAAACAACTCGCGAAAACTCAAGGCCAGAAATGAGTAGGTGCTTATGAAAAAAAAAAAAAACACACTGGGCTTCCCTCGTATGCTGCTCTATTTTTTTTTAGTTTATAAATAATTTCTTATGTATGAATATCGTTTATATTTTCAAAGGATAATGGAATAATTAGAATTTATATAAAATATTTAAGTAATTTTTTAAAATTTAACTAATTTTTTTTAAAAGTAACATTAAAATAATGATTTGGCCCCCCCCTAAAGTCGGCCGCCTGCGTGCAATGCACACATTGCACAATAGGTAGCGGCGGCCCTGCATACAAGATAAGCTATATACATAGAATCTATAGTATAGATACATAGACACAATATATATATATATATATATATATATATATATGCACTGAGACAGGTCCAATATATTTGCGTTTTTCATATTTTAAAAATTTTTCTTTACAGTAGGCCTACGTTGGCAAGACTTTTGTGGTTAAGAAGTGTCTGCTTGAAGCATCTCCACATTTACTACAGTACATCAACCCAGGGCATTACCCTCCAAAAAATAAAATTAAAAAAATATATATATATAACAATTTTTTTTTTTTTTTATTTTTTTTTTGCACTTAAACCATATGACTAAAACACATTTTTTTTTCAAAGAAGCAAAATTTGATTAAATTTACAAGAAGCCCACTCTTGCTATTCCCTTTCTTCTAAAATATGGCATCCTATTAGATATAAGAAGATTTTTATTAAAGCTTTAGAAAAAGTGAAGGGGCCTACAAAAATATGCCCTGGGGCGTCGAATCCTCTTACTCAAATACGGCCCTGGTCAAGGGACTGATAGGCTTAAAATGAAGAGATATAGCCAATAGATCTATCTAGTTCTATGTATTAACCTGAAAATCTTTACATTTTTTAACGCATCAACTTAATTGTCTCGCCTCAAACATTTAATTTTTAAAAGTGTAAGAATGCATTTACTAGTCAAGATCAAGTCTTGGCTTATATGTTATCTCCTGTTTGTATAGATACTATAGATGCAGAGTTTTATTTTCTCTTTTGAAGAAATATCTTAACATTGAAATTAAAGATAAATTATACAAAGATAAAAAATATGTCTATAATAAAATACATTTTATACATTAGACCTATATAAAGGGACTTCTTATGGTCCGATGGACAGGGCACGTATCCCGTATGGGGGACGAACGTTTGCCAAAAGCAGTTTTTTTTTTGTGAGCTAAAAGGTGGGCGACGTAACAGATGTGCCCCACGGAAACTAAAGACCAGCTTAGGTGCCAACTTTCCTTAGCTGACATAAAAGAGAGCACCTTGTTGCATGCGGCTTCAGAACGAGACATCTGATGGTCACTCACATAGTCACAAAGGCTGCGGGATACACATTTGAGAACCCCCCCAAAAAAATCCACTGCTAAGGACAGCCGCAGACGGCGAAAAGAAAATCGTAATCGACCACCTGTGGACAATTACGCTTGCCCTGGATGTGGCAAAATATGTAAGTCATAGCTGGGGCTGCGTAACCACGGGAAATATTGCACTCCTTGTTAATCTTCGGACTCGACGACAAGCCTTATTATTATTATTATACACTATAAATTAAAAATTAATATAGAATTATGTTTCAAATCACAGTTTGAATTCATGTTAATGATGTTAGTATCTTTTATAACTAGCTTTTTCCTGGACAGTGCTTCTCGGTTTCAAAGTAGCTGTCGTATGGAAACGGTCGTTAGAGAAGACGATTCGGCAAGTAGGAAAGCCAAATAGAACTCCGTTGGAGTGCCTCTTATAAGGACCGAGTGCCGTTAGAGAATGGAATAGGTTAAAATTGCCTGAATCAGCCAAGAAAATCAATGACTTAGCAGGGTTTTAGTCACTGATTAACAAGCATGACTATACTGACACATAAAATGCGTACTTATGTTGTTGTTTTTTTGTCAAGTAACGTCTGTAACCTATAAGAATTTATAAGCAAGAGTCCACTGCACTGGCGGGGATGGAAGAAAGCACCAAAATGCCGCTAACGACACACCGTTCTCCAGATACGGCTTTTGAGGTACAGAGAATGAATAAGCGGGGGGGGGGGGGAGTTTACTCAATGTGCTCGCGGCCTTCGGCCTTGCTTCTAACGAGCCATCAGGATGTTATAATTAACATCTGTTTGCATCTTTTCCAGACACAAGTTTGTTCTGATAGGCAGATGGAAGCAAGCTTCCGTGGATCTTGAGTTCAAATACTCAACCCTTAGGACTAGCACTGAGAGGTTACTATTCTTTTATAATTTTCAGAAAAAGCTATACAAGAGAAAAAAATCCGAAACTTTACATAACTTCTCGCCTCTTGTACGCGATTATGTGAGAACATCCGCCATGATTATGCTGACAACTCAATGGGTGTAATAATTATCTAGACTATAGATTCTAGATCTATATGATCTAACTCAAGATAGAATTCCAAACTGATTAGATCTTTTTTTTTTCGAATATGCATACGCCTTCTCACATATAAAAACAACAGATTCAATAAAATCTTATAGAGTACCTACTAAACGTAGATTGTCGTTGCTGTGCTAGCTCAGTCCAGTGTTGTTGAGAGTTGAGTAACTGAGTTTATTGAGTAGTGAGTAGAAGTACTCAAGTAGTGGACAGTTATGAGACAATTAGTGTCACAGTAGCGGCTGTTTAGATCTCTTAACTCTAGCAGCTAGCAAAAAATAAGATATTCATTATTTATGCCATTATGATTGTCACATCTCAATCTATCATTACTTATTTACTAGATTTAAAGGGAAACTCCGATGGTTTTGACAATTTTTTATATAATATGTGTTTTGATTTATAGATAATATATATTATATATTCTTTTTTTTTATTTGCAAGAATAACTTAGTAATTGATGGTTTTGTGACATAATTTTTCTGCGCATCCAAAACAGTCAGATTTTCACCGAATTTCTGTGTGACGTCACGAGGGTGCACTCAAATCCTATAATTGAATTCTTTGGCCTGGAAATCCAATGTATTGTTGGTACTGCACCTGGTATTAGCTTCATTTTTTTTTTCAAATCCCATTTCCACAGCAATGAAGTTGCTGAAACAGCTTCTCTCAAAATGGTTTGAGCATAAATAGGAATTAGCTAATGCCTTTGTAAAATATTTGCTCTTCAGACGAATAAATTTTTCCCTTTAAAACTTCATCTCTTGGAAACAAATGAAAAGAGAAACTAATTTCTGTGTCAGCATATTTGCTGATTTTATCTTTGTGATTGGAACTACTGCAACAAGCTGAAGAACAGTATTTCATTTTCTTCAAGTAGAAATAGAGGTTTAGATCTAGAATATTATTTATAAACAAAGACCGATTATAAATCAACGTGGAGACTACATCTAGCTGTGAAGCGTAACAATAAATGCGATCTGATAAGTGACCTAGATCTAGAGAGTTTATCGGTTATATAGGTCTAGATCTAAATTTAGCCAGCACCCTTGTGACGTCACATTTTTAAAAACTAAAAACATCTCGCAGAAACCTGTTTTTTTTGGGACGTGATGAATTTTCTGTCTAATTTATTAAATATAAAATTTTCTGAGCATTTAAATAAAAAATGATATAATGTTTACTATTACAAATTTTTACGCAGAATTTAAACAAGTCAATAACTACAATTTGAAAAACTATTGGAGTTTCCCTTAACTAGATCTAGTTTTTGTCATTAGTAAATTTAGTATCATTATCTCACCATCTAATCATTATATTATGAATATGATTATAAATGATATCAAATAATGAGATATCCCTGGCTATGATGATGCTATCTTAGTATCTATCTTAGTAATAGTATCTATTAGAGTCTATATTATAATCTATCAAATCTATGAATCTCTATGACTATGATTCACTATGATAATCATAATAATGATAATTATAATGATTATCTAGTCTAGATCTACGCTATACAGTAATAGAGTAATACATAACACTGATACTGATACATCATACAGTCTGATCTATTCTATCACATCAATTCAATTAATAATATTTAGATGTATAATAATTCAAAATAATTAAGTCTAGTACAGTCTAGTCTTGATAGATATATATATTAAATTATTAGATTTAATATTGTAATTAGTTAGATCTAGAATCTAGTCTAAGTCTAGATGATCTATATAATTATAAATTATATTTTTATTTATATAATATATAGATTAGAATTTAGATCAATATACTAGATCATTTATAAGTAGTAGACCTATGAGTTTTTAAGACTAAGTTTAACTTTTAAGAGTACTACTGACAGTTCTGTCAGTCTCACTACTACTAGATCTACAATCTACAACTAGATATCTAGATTTAATATAAATTTAATCTAGCTAGAAATCTAGATTCTAGATCCATATAAGGCATATTGACTATACTCTACTATATAGTATATACAATATACACCATTACATGATTAAATGTCTATATTATATACTATATACTCTATATAGAATTATAGAAACCTAGTTCTAGGATCTAGTAGTTTAGTAACTAATGTAAGTTATACTGAGTAGTGTGAGTAACACGTAATCTAGATCTATAAGCCTTACTAATCAATCTTGAATCTAGACTTAAACTCTACTAGTGTCTAGTCAGTCTAGTTGTTCAGACTCTCCTAATCTGAAACATTCAGACAATATAATATTTAAAAAATAATATAACTAATATCTCAAGTCAGTCACAAGTCAACAAAAAGTGACAAGTAACATTTACAATAGACATGTGTTGCTACTGGCAGTATATTATTATTAGTCTTTCTCTGACTAAGTTGCTAGAATTAAATCTTTTAGTCTTAGATTATATGAGTAGGCTACTTAGAGTTACTTAGATCTAAAGTCTGAGACTCAGTAATTACTAGATGACATTCAATTAGATCATCTATAACTATTCTAGCCTATATAAAATAAATAGATCTAGTCAAACCTACTCTTAAGTGTCTGGACTCTACACTACTAGACTTGACACTTACTCACTGACAGTGACAATGACTAGACTAGATATAGACCTAGATTAGCTCTAGAATACTCTAACTCTAGACTCTAGATCTATTTAGTACTAGATCTACACCTATAATACTTATAACTTACTGTTACAATCTAGATCTACTTATTGTCTAAATAGTATTTATGATTAGAACATAGATCTAGACTTATCTAGATTCTATGTCTAAGTCAAACTGAGAGATAACTAATTCTATGAGAAGTTACTTTGAATTACTCTCTCCAGTCTTGAACTTGGATTATAAAGATTGTAAATCATTACGAACTGCCGAGCAGAGTCAGTATATCATAAATGTGACTAGATCTACTCTTGTGTCTACAGTACTCAAGTCAAGAAAGATTGAGCACCCCCCAATAGAGTCTAAAACTACTTCAGAAGGTGTTGGTTTTCTCAAGTTTATAAAGTGAGTACTAGAGTTAAATATATATATATTTACTTTAGAACCTTGATTTAGTTAAGTTGTAAAGCTAGTTCAGAGTTCAGTGTCTCCAAAAGAATATAATGATAGTCTTAAATTTAATATTAATAAGTCATCTAATGATTCTATGTTGTCTAAAGTGTAAATGTTTCCAAAAGAAAATATTGTCTGATAAATTACAGACATTCTGTCGAAGAAAAAGATAATTTGATGTCTAACATATCTATGTGTCAATCTTGTTCTGCACTTGTTAATTAGAGACTCTACTAAATCATTAGTTTTCCTAGCTGATTCAGGCAACCAGTTTCTTGTTCTAATGATCTCTTATTTATATAAATATAAGAATGTGTTCTTAAATGGCATATTCATGGGATAAGATTGCTTTCTGATTATTTCATTTAGTTGCATTTTTATATAATTGTAAATTATGGTTCATTTTTTTTAGATGTATGTATTATTGCTACATTAATTTTTTAGTCTTGTGTTGAGTATCCTCTAGTGTTTCTAAGTTTAGTGATTTTACTAATAGTGTTGCTCTAGTCAAATGTGAATAGTAGTATGTTATAAATCTTAAGGCACTATTTTGCATATTATATATATATATATATATATCTTTTTCTAGTTAATTTATGTTTTCTTGAATTGAGAGATCCCAAATACTATCAGAGACATATTCTAGTATTGGTCTAATCATGGGTCTAACCAGTCTAATCAAGTTTAAATAGGTTTTAGTTTTATAATGTTCTTGTTGGATTTGTACTAATAGTACTAATAGTAAATAAAAAAAAAAAGAGAAATGGACAAGCTCCAAATCGCAAGAATTGAAGAAAGATGATGCTTATTATAAGCTATCCTGACAAGATCAATGTCTAATCTTTCAACTCTGGACCGGACACAACTGAATGCGATAAAAACATATGTACCGAAAGCTGAATATTGGAACCAGTGAAATCTGCCCATGGGGATGTCACCAGAAAATGCCAACCATGTCCTCCAAAACTGCTCTGTTTACCAAGAGGCCCATAGAAGACATTGGCCCCAAAACACCCCAATAGAAAGGGAACTAAATGGAGAGCTCCCTGATTTGGAAACCACTGCGCAGTTCATTTCATGTATTGGCCTAGTCATCTGAACACTCCAACATAAAAATGAGAACAAAGAAGAAGAAAGTTGGATTTGTAAAATCTCTTATAATGAACCAATATGCTTTGTTTGGTTCTTAATTCTTTAATCAATCTGGGGTTCCATGACAGGTTTTCATTTATTGTAAACTATGTATTTTGAAATTTTAGTCTGTGGGTAACTGGTTTACCATGAATAAGATTTTAGTAGTTTTTACTAAGCTTATATCAACTCACTCTGTCTGGTAATAGTTTGTACACATTATTTCTCCAACACCCAATCTTGGATCTCCCTTTCTTTCTCCCCCCCCAACCCCCCATTTTCCCAAATGGTTCAGACAAGTGATAGGATCATAGAGAATTGAGAAAGCTTAAAGCATCAAATAGTGCTTTAACAAAAACAATTTGTAAAAATATTTCCAATCACAGATTTATTGTTGTTGGTCTAGATCTATTACAAATTTAATTACATGACTGATCTAAAATAATTGATACAATTACACTTTGCGTAAGCTTTTTTTTTTTTTTTTTAAAGTTTTTATGTTTATTCTTGTTACTTGTTCTAGTTTTTTGTTACTCTTAATAATTTGCATTTTTCTGAGTTGAAAGATGTGCTCCAATTAGATTTCCATTCCTGTAATTCATCTAATCCTCTTTGTTAATTCTTGTGTTTTCTTTTTGTTCTATGTATTATGCAATCATGTGCAAATAGTCTAACTTTCATAAACTTATGCTATTAGGTAGGACATTTATTTAAAATAGAAACACTAGTGGGACTGTTCTTTTGGGTATATTAGTTTTTTCTTGAATTGTTTGGTATAATGGAACCAGTAATGCCAATAAATGTTTTAATTTTTTATAGAAAATAATGGTGGTGTTCTATATAAAAAGCTTTTGACAAATCTAATCAATGGCATTTATCTGTTGGCTCATTATTCTCTAAGCCCTTAGAAATCTAATAAAATGGCATAGATCCTTTGCTCATTATTATCTGTTACGATCATAAATAGTGCTAGATGTTACAATCAA